AATGGAAGAATTTTGCGTATGAGGTTTAAGAAATTTTTTTAATGAATGGATAAGCGGAATTAAAGTAGATACTTTTGAGAAAACTTAGCGACCTTATTGTAGCGGATCTGATAAAAACGTAAAGTGTCTCCAGAAGTAAAAGATCATTTTATTTACATATGGTCTGAGTTGATTTCACCAATTGATTTAGTTGAAAAACTAGGATGATTATGATATACCTTGAAGTCAACTTTCAACAATAAACAACCGCGTAAAGAAGGGTCTTACGACAAACGAAACTCCTTCAAAGATGGTCCAGTTGCTACGAATCAACGAAAAGAAAAAAACTCTACGGTATCACACATAATGAAAAAGGTGTGAACCAAAATGCTTCAGCTGTACTAATTTTGGACGCACACTCAAGGGACTGTCCGCTGCCCAAACCAGTAGTAACATGCCGAAAAAATGTAATAAAACAGGTCATAAAGCTAAAAATTGTGTTACTAAAGCTGAAATAAATCATTCAAATGATAAAAATTATTCTGTTGAGCAAGTTGGCGAAAATTTAGAAGAGAGCAATTCATATTTGAAGAAAGCAAAAACTGAATAATTCTGAAGAAGTACAGGCTTTAATTGATACGGGGAGTTCTTGTTGTCTCTTAAGGACTTCAGTTGCTCAGAAACTTAAAGTGAAACCAGAACCTGCTATGAATGAATTGTACGGTTTTGGAAATCAAAGGGTGCCTGCAGGGACCTCTATAGGAATGATTAAAGCCGATATTGAAGTTGATAATGTAAAAGGCCAAGGCATAAATATATATCTTGTACCTGATAATGCACAGCCAAGTTGATCTAACCACCGGACGGACATGGCTTGATCTACCTCACATGGCTTATGTTAGAATAGGAAAAATATTTCACTTCGGGTATAGGGAAGATGAACTATTTAGTAACCTCCAAACTGATGAAAAAATAAATCGAGTCTGCCTTAAAGCTCTTGAGGCAAACGAATTAGAGAAAAATACAATGTCTTGTCAGTTCTCAAACAGATTCTGTAGATAATGGATTAATTATGATAGAAAATCCTTCCGAAGGTATCTGCTGTTTATTAGAAATTAAAAATGGCGAAACTTGTATACCAGTGATTAACGTTGGCGATAGAAGTGTTAAGCTCCAAAAAGATCAGTGCGTTGGGAGAGCAGTAGTAACATGCCGAAAATGTAATAAAACAGGTCATAAAGCTAAAAATTGTGTTACTAAAGCTGAAAATAATCATTCAAATGATAAAAATTATTCTGTTGCGCAAGTTGGCGAAAATTTAGAAGAGAGCAATTCATATTTGAAGAAAGCAAAACTGAATAATTCTAAAGAAGTACAGGCTTTAATTGATACGGGGAGTTCTTGTTGTCTCTTAAGGACTTGAGTTGCTCAGAAACTTAAAGTGAAACCAGAACCTGCTATGAATGAATTGTACGGTTTAACTATGTTTAAATACTGAAATTTCTGAATTGAGCTCGAACTTAGCAAAAACGGAAAATATTAACAACATAAAAGTTCCTATAAATTTAAGTCAAGTTAAAATTGGCTCGGATCTCGACGTTGATCACCAGCAAGAGTTATTGCGTCTTTCGAATGAGTACAGAGATAGCTTCGCACTAAATATTTCAGAACTCAGGTGGACTGAGTTCATAAAAATGGACACTAAAGAAGATATATTCGTTCACCAAACTCCAGTAAAGAAAAACAATACAAAAAGTACCGTTCGAAGTGTAGGATATTGTGAATTAGGTGCATTTGAAGTTGTTCGAGAGAAGGGGAATGAAGCTGCAAATCTGATTGGACTGAATCGGACTTCGGTGAAAAATAGTCCTTATGCTGCAAATAGAAATCGACACTGTGGAAAACTGGTCTCTAAACACCACTTCATGCCAAGGCAAGACAGAATGACGAAAGTGATTCTGTCTTTAGTCAGAGACGAGAGAATGTAGATGATAAGCAGCAACTACAACCTCAAAGGCCCGTACGAAGGGCAATTACATCATCCTTACTTCAGGCAATATTGTAGGTTATATATCCATAGGACTTCCACGAAACGTTTGAACGTGATGGAAGTGAAGATGAACAAAATGAAAGAAAAAACGAAGAAAGAGTTTCAGGAGGTGGAAGAGACAATCACTGGAATCCTAGACGATTTTATCAAAAGTGCTTTAAAAGCAAAATCCACTATCATAGGAATGACACTGAATGCAGTCAAAGTAAATTGGAAGGAGAAGCAACTAGTAAAGATACTGAAGCAAATGACGAAGAACAGCAGCCACGCGGTCAAGGATCTAGATCTTGTCCACTTTACAGATCAAAAATGGGTTGTCGAGAGCCCCACCAAGCTGATTCACGTGCTAAAAGCAGATCTTCGGAGGCCATCATTTCCAGAAATACAGAAGATGATGATAATGATGACGAACTTAAAAGGCCCAAGCGAATAGTGCGTGTTTGAGTAAGACCAGCTACAACTCAACTCTGTTTTAAGTTTATGTTTTGAAAATAAGTTCTATCGTTTCTGTAAGAATAACTGCTTCTAAATTTTGTGGAAATATCTGCAATTAAAGTGTTTTTTCATATTAAATCCATAGTTATTTTCGAATCCTTTAAAATATTGGTGTCCGTGGAACAGGACTATGAATAATTTAAAACGGGAAAGAACACAATTACGGCGATATTTCACAACTTCTTTGAAAGAAGTGGACACTGTTCTAAAAGATGAAGCAGTAAGTAAGATTGATTTGATATCTGTATTTAATATATTTAATGATAAAGCTGACAGATTGTTTCAGTTAGATGAAAAAGTTAAAGTAAAATGGCTAGAAATGGAAACTTTTAATGAAGGTGAATTTTCTAATGGGTATGGATTTTAACGGATAAGCTATCGAAATCAGTGGGTTGCTATGAAAACGAAAGTGGATTTGAATGTTACCAACCACTGAAAAGAAAGGGCGATATTTCCAGTGTAGTAAATGAAACCAAGCGAAATTTCCGTCTTCCTAAAGATTAGAATTGAAAGGTTTTGATGGTAATATTAAAAACTAGGCTAGGATTCTAGGGGACAATTTTAAAAAGATTCACGATGATGATGATAGCATTGATGCAGATGATAAATTTCAGTATCTTTTACAAGCAACTGAAGAAGGTTCATCGGCTAGAGATTCAGTTGCAAGTTTTCCACCATTTGGCGAAAACTATTACAATGCTATAGAACAGCTGAAATCTCGTTTTGCTAAAGGTGAACTATTAATTCAAATTTATGTTCGTGAACTTTTAAATCTAGTTTTAACGCAAGCGAAAAGTGCCGAAAATTTTACTTTGCGGATTCTATATGATAAATTGGAGACTCAGCTGCTAGCATTAGAGACTTTAGGGGTAAAGTCTGAAAAATATGAAGCAATGTTATATCCTTTAGTAGAATCAGCTCTGCCAGAAGTGGGAACGCACATGCATAACCGTGTAGAAAGTAAAGGCAAGATGGATATGTTAGGAAACTTATTAGAATTTCTTTGTTTGGAAGTCGAAAGGTGAAGAGCGGTTACAATTTGCTCGATCGCAGTTTGCGAATGATCAAGAATTTAAGAAATTTAAAGCTAAAGAAAAAATTCCCACTGCAGCTTGTATTGTATCGAATGAAAAGCAAAGAGCTGAGAAAAATGGCAAGCATTGTAATGTTGTAACAAATCGTTTCTTAATACCTTAGAATGCTTTAAGGCTGCCGAGATGTCAACGAAGGCGAAAAGGGAAACATTGAAGAAAAGGGGTGGACTTGTTTCGTCTGTTTGAAACCAGGACACAATTCTAAGAATCTGCAAAGCTTATTTAAAGTGTATTATATGCAAGAAAAAAACACCATAGATGTACTTCACACTTCAGCATTATGTGTCCAAATATAAATCAATCAAAACAAGACAAAAAATCTGAATCGGATGCACAGGTTCTTTTGTCACCAAAAAAATCTCCAACGTTATTGTTAACTGTATTGGTGAAAATCATCAATGGTGACAAGTCCGGAATCGTTCGTGGATTATTTGATACTGGTGCTCAAAGATCTTTCATACGGAAAGATATTGTGGAGAAACTAGGATTGAAACTTGTAGATCAAGAAATGATGAGTCATGGACTTTTTGGGGGCAGTGAAACTAAACAAGAGTCCCATAATGTCTACAATATTACATTACAAAGCTTGTGTTCAAATTTCAAGTACACTATTTCAGTTTTGGACGAAAAGAAGATATGTGGTGCGATTCCACGTGCAGAGGATCCTGATATTTATCCAATTTTGAAAAGGAAAAATATACGCTTAAGTGATACAGGAGAATATGTGCCTGAAATAGGTTTATTAATAGGAGCTGATTATCTTGGCGCATTATTGACTGGGAGAATTGAGCCCATTGATAATAATTTGGTAGCTATTAAAACAAAACTTGGATGGACGCTTCAAGGTAAACAAAGAAACTACTCAAAATCTTTGGAGAGTATTGTATATGCTAATAATTTGGATTTGACGGAATTATGGAGCCTAGATGTCATCGGTATAAGATGTCCTGCAGAAGTAAAGTCAAAGCAGGTAACCGATGAAGAAACGGTAGATTTCTTCCGTAAAACTATTAAAAGAAACGAAGATAAAAGATATGAAGTATGTTTGCCATGGAAAAGTGGACGTCTAGAATTAGAAACGAATAAGGAATTAGCCACTAAACGGTTAATGTCAACTACCAAAAATCTCATACGATCTGGACATTTAAGAGAATACGATGATGTGTTTAATGAGTGGGTTCGGGATGGAATTATTGAAATTGTAGATAAAGACGAGAAAAAGGGACTCTATTTACCACATCATCCTGTGATAAAAACTGGTGTAACAACAACAAAAATTCGTCCGGTTTTTCGATGCGTCGACGAAAGATTCCAAAGGAAATTCCTTGAATAATTGTTTAGAAAAGGGGCCAAATTTATTAGAATTGGTACCCAAATTGATAATGCAGTTTCGGAAAAAAGCAATTGGCATAACGCCAGACATCAAAAAAGCATTTTTACAAATCAGTTTGAGTCCAGAGGATAGGGAATATTTTAAATTTCTGTGGTGGAAGGATTTATCAAGACGAGAAGAAATAATCCCTCTCCGACATTGTAGAGTGGTATTTGGTGCTTCTCCCAGTCCATTTTTACTAGAAGCAACTATAGCTTACCATCTAGAGAACGCTCCGGATGAAAGAAAACACACAGCTTGTCAACTCAAAGAACCTTTTTATGTGGACAACTGTATTACGAGTTTAGAAACTAAAGGAGAGGCAGAAAAATTTATTTCTGAAGCTAAGGAGCTGATGTCTTCAGCACAATTCGAACTACGAGGCTGGGTTACTTCTGAAAAAATTGTAGAAGAGACACATGACAAATTCATTTCAATTCCAGGTCTCTCTAGGGACACTGAAACCGATGAACTTTTTTGCGGCAGTATGGTTGAAAATCCAGAAAAGAGGATTACTAAAAGAGTTGTGTTATCGGCTGCCCAAAGATTATTTGACCCTATTGGGATAACATATCCCGTTTCATTGATACCAAAAGTATTGATTCAAAACATTTGGAAGAGGAAAATTAATTGGGACGACGTACTTCCAATAGATATATCAAATAGATTTTTAGCCTGGGTCAAGGAACTATCTTTACTGAAAGAATGTCAGATTCCACGGAGACTCGTCTCAGGTCCATTTGAAGACTGCCGAATAAGTCTACATTGTTTCTGTGATGCCAGTGAAGTTTCCTATGCTGCTTGTATTTTCTTGCGTTCTGAATTTAATGATAAGATTTCTGTCAAGTTAGTAACGAGTAAGTCAAGAGTGGCACCTACCAAAGAGATTACAATTCCTAGATTAGATCTCTCGGGAGCTTTGATCTTATCAAGATTATATGGTCAAGTCGTAGACGGACTGGAATTGAAAGACAATACAGTGTGTTTTTGGACTGATTCAACTGTTGCTTTAACTTGGATCAAAAGAGAGAGTTCTTGGAATACGTTTGTAGGAAACAGAGTCACAGAAATAAGAAAGAATACAAACCAGAATGACTGGCATTTTGTGCCAGGGCATATGAACCCAGCAGATTTGCCTTCAAGAGGTTTTGATGCTAAGAATTTATTGAAAAGCAAATGGGGGGAAGGTCCAGAATGGAAGTCATAAGAATTTGGGCCATTAAGTGAAAAACAAGTCATTGATGAAAATTTGGTTAGATCGGAAGAGAGAAAAATGATATGTGGAGCATGGATCAGTTAACTTCAGCAGAACACTGTTTGTTAAAATTAATTCAGCAGGAAAGTTTTGCCGGAAGAAAATGAAAATCTTGAAGAACATGCAAACATTCAGAGACGAAAATAATATTGTTCGACTCAGAACAAAGCTTCTCTTGGGAGATGAAGAGGAAACTTTCAAGTGCCCCATATTGTTGCCCGGAAGCCATGAGATTATTCATCGACTGGTAAGGCAAAAGCATTGTGAACTACAACATGCAGGACTTCAAACTTTGATTGCCAATTTAAGAGAAGATTACTGGATTATTTCGATCAATAGATTAGCGAAACAAGTTAGCTCTAGTTGTATTTTATGTAAAAGATTCAAGGCCAAACTTACAGAACCACCTTTTGCCCCTCTTCCTAAGAACAGAATAAAGACTGCTGCAGTTTTTGAAGTTTCAGGAATTGATCTCGCAGGCCCTTTGTATTTGCGTTCTAGCGAAAAGACATGGGTTGTACTTTTTACCTGTGCCATTTATAGGGCTGTCCATCTTGAATTAGTCAATTCCCTGTCTACAGAAGTTTTTATTATGGCTTTAAGAAGATTCTTTGCTCGAAGAGGTAGAGTAAATATAATCTACACTGACAACGGTACAAACTTCATTAGTTCAAGCAATGCTCTAAGAAATTTAGATTAGGAGAAGATCATGTCGTTTTCTACTATCAAGAAAATAAAATGGAATTTTAACCCTCCAACAGCCGCCTGGTGGGGAGGATGGTGGGAGCGCATGTTTAGAATGTTGAAAGAGATGCTAAGAAGAATTATGGGAAGGAAAAGTCTTGACGTTGAAGAGTTGGAAACTATTCTATGTGATTGCGAAGCTACAATAAACTCTAGGCCACTTACATATATTGAAGACAATTCTGAAGGTCTGAAGCCATTAACTCCCGCTTGTTTCTTACAAAATATTCCTAGCAGTGAAACAACTGATTTAGACGAAATTGACAGTAAAAGCTTAAATATAAGATTGCGTTTTGTGCAAATATTAAGGCAGGATTTAAGAATGAGATTTCGGAATGAGTATTTAGCAATGTTGTTTCATAAAGGTAAGAGTCGGAAAGAATCTTTGAAAGTTGTAGAGGTCGTTCTTTTAGAAACTGATGGCAAGCGTATCAACTGGCCTTTAGGAATCGTCATTGAAGTCTTTTTTGGAGCAGATGGGCACTCAAGAGTTGCCAGAGTGAGAACAGCTGATGGAGAGAAGTTGAGACTATTCCAAAGACTTTATCCGTTAGAAATCAACAGTTCGGAAAAGTTACCATTCGTCGCCCAAGATGCTCGAAGGGAGGAAAGTGTCTCTACGAATATGCCTCTACGCCCTGCAGCTAATGATTCAGATTCCAGCGAAGATGATAATTCCTCACCCAAAGTCCAAGATTTTATTACTAGAGCTGGCCGACGTGTTAAAATTCCCAATAGGACTTGATTTATAAATTTTGTTGCAATTTATAGATATCCTACAAATTGCAAGGTGGGAGGTTGTTTGAGTAAGACCAGCTACAACTCAACTCTGTTTTAAGTTTATGTTTTGAAAATAAGTTCTATCATTTCTGTAAGAATAACTGCTTCTAATTTTTTTGGAAATATCTGCAATTAAAGTGTTTTTTCATATTAAATCCATAGTTATTTTCGAATCCTTTAAAAGAGCGCAAACCATTGCGCTATAGACTTTGTATAGGACTTATAGAATTTTTTTAAAAATTATATTTGATTTTATTTTTTTCCTACCTATTATTATATTTTTGTTGTTGTTTATTTGTCGTTTTAATGTATGACAAGATTTGGTTCAGTTGAGGACAATTGAAAAGTCAGGATGGTAGAATGTAAGCACGATTGTAAATTATTTAATTGTTATTAGACAAAATATCTATGAGAAAAATGGCAAAGCTAATTTGGATGTCGTTCGATATATAATTTTAAAAATACATTGAGATGATGTACTCTTGAAATGTTTAATGGTACGATGCAGTAAGTACGTTTGTTATGTTATGTACCTTTACGAATACGTTACGTATACAGTGGTGACCAAAATTGTGGACACTTTTGGAAATTTTTATGTTTTTGAACTTTGTATGCTTATAGAAAATGTTACGTTTCGCAAAATGCAAACTTGTATATATCATTTTAAAGAGAATTTATTACTGAATTGAATACAAAACACAAAATTTAATTATTTGCAATACAAAAAAAAAGTTATATGTACTTTAATATAAATAGAAAACACAGTTATGAAGTGGTTTGTAATGTCTAGCTTTCCTGGTCAATCACTGTTCTTGTTCTGATAACCAATCAAATGTTAGTAACTGCCAGTAGAAGAAGCTGACATCATGTTTACACTTGAAACAATTCATTATTTTACTTTGTTCTGTAGAAGTAGAAGGAGGACCTGTTTTCTTATACACTGCAATTACAAGTAGGAATTTTTGTAAAAATTTGTTTAATATTTAGTCAAGAAGCAATGACATCAAATAAAAGAGTAGATCTGACATCTAAAAGAGATGTAATATTATTGTGTTATGAGAGAGTGGTCTTTCCTATGCTGAAATTGCAAGACAGGTGGGGGTTCCAGTGACTCTCCAGTTACAAGTTACTAGTGACTACATCTGGAGTCCGAAAGTTTTGTTTACGATATCAGGAGACAAATTCAATAAAAACAAAGAAGGAAAAGGCCGAAAAACGGTGCACCACATCTATTGATGACAGAAGAATAAAAACTATGACTATGTCTCCAAGATAGAAAAATGTCATCAGCGGCCAATCAGAAGTGATCTGAATGATGCTGGTGTTTCTGTCAGTTCAAGAACAATCAAGGAGAAGATTTAACAGATGTTGGACTGAGAGGTAGAATTCCACGAAAAAAAGCCTTATCTTAATTTTCAGCAACGAAAGAAAAGACTACAGTAGGCAAAGGAACAAATTAATTGGACAGATGATCAGTGGTCACAAGTTATATGAAGTGAGTGATGAAACTAAGATATCGTTATTCGGTAGTGATGGGCGAAAATATATAGAGACGTAGAATAGGAGAAGAGCTACATCCTGACTGCATTCAAGCAACTGTGAAACATTCAACCCAGTTAGTGTTATGATTTGGTCATGCATGTCAGCAGATGGTATTGGCCGCCTTCATGTCATCGATGGGACCCTAAATGCCAGAAAATACATTGACACTATTCTAGAACCAAAACTTCTACCTTCCATCAGAGATCTCTTTCCCAACAATGCTTCGTTTATTTTTCAGCAGGATTCTGCTCCTTGCCACACGGCCCAAAATCGAAAGAATGGTTTCGTACAAAGACCATTAAATTGTTCTCATGGCCAGGAAACAGTCCTGACCTCAATTTTTAATTAACTACAACATTTAACTACAAATTTGATTTTAATTAAATTTAACTACAAAAGGAAGTTAACTTATAGCCGTAATGTGGCATGAATGGTATAATTTTTATTTTGAATCATGTTAAAAATTTCTCGTCTTCTTCTATTTCTAACTCCTTTATTCCATCATTGATGCTTAGCGTAAACATATTCTCAAATTAAAGCAAGTGAGTTAAAGTCCAGTAATTGTTCAATTTCAGAAATGATGGGGCTATTATTGGGAGGTATGTACAATTACAGATTATGAATGTTTCGTGCTCAATTTGAATTCTGATAGTATTGCTTTAAAAAAAAGTAGAAAGATTTTATTTGAGTTGATGTTGAATACTCCTTTTAACCCCTTAACTGCCGCGGTAAACGTATAAGATTCATTTCCCAGTGCCACAGTTTTTCACACAGGCGCGCATAGTTATGCGATGCATTAGGGGGAAAATAAGTGCAAGTTTTACTTTCTAAAAACTGTTTACTTTCACAAAATAAAGAATAAAAGAAAAAAATGAATGCACAAAATTTAATGTTTTGAGTAAAAGTATAAGAAAAAGATGTAAGTATAATAAAAATGATGTTTTTAATAAAAAATAGATACCTAAAATGGAGTTTCGATCAATTCATTTTTAGACCAGTAACGTGTAATATCAGGTTTTAGTGTTATACCTAGCAGCGCCGGACTTATTTTTCGGGGGGGCAAAACTTGATCTGCCGCCTTTCTTTTCTTTAAGTTTCTCTAACAATTTTCAATTTTTTAATAAACATAGGTAGGGTTGAGATAAAATGTAAAACCCATTTTATAGAAAGAAATTCTTTATGTGCCATTTTTGTTATAAAAGAAATATACATAACAAATTTAGTTTCTTTACTTATGGCAAAGCATAAGAAGGCTATCTGCCTAAGAAGAGAGATGCCTTCACTGAGGGCTTTTATGCTGAGTAATTGGCTTGTATGCAAATAACGCATGAGTGAAATACGTAAACGCCCATGGAGCCAGCAAATTCGCCGGGATTCTAACCCCTGACGGAACTACCAGTGTTCAGAGTATACCACTGTTAAATAGCTACTGCACCAATGTTCGGTTTCTGAGAGAGAAACCTATGTTTTGTTTCTATACTTTGCCGAAAAATCATGGGCACCAATGCTGTGTTACAACCTCCTCTTAGGGAGGAAGCTAATGCAGAAACAGACAGGTGAAAACCGCAACTAAAAAAAACCGACCCCCGAACGAGAAACTAAAACTCTTAGGAGTTTGCTAATTACCAACTTTTAGTTGTGATCGTATAAGTGAATTTTTAATGCATTGCGTTATAAAAATGCATCCGGGACCGCGCGTGAGAGGATCGAATAAACAACATGTAAAATCAATATATATCTAAGAAAACCACATAACAGATATAAAGAAAATAAGTAATAGGTTTCCAGATTAAATATCAGTTTATTCAAATTCCTCACAATAAAAATTAAATCTTATCCTCATCAGAGAGTCTAATTTCTTATTTGTGTTACCTTTTAATTTACTTATTTTAGACACAGGGGAATTCTTCAATTTGTCATTTACTTTTTGTTACATTTAAATTCATGATTTGCAAATCTATTACATGACTCTTTTAATTTAACGGGTACCCGTTCTAAGAGGTTAAGGAAAACATATTATTTGCAATTCACATCTGTTCTAAGGAAGATTACACAAACAACTTAAATTATTACATCCTAATTCATATAATAACCTTAAGGTTTGTTTCGGTAATTTAGAAGGAAAAGGGAAACAATTGAAAGCCTGAGAATTAATTTAAGATTCGACGTTGTTATTTTACATTCCAAGGAAGTCGTTGAAACCTTACTTAAAGTTCAAACACAAAAAATAGAACTTATCTTGTAAGGACGTCTTGAAGTGGAGGACTCGTATCCTAATAAGCGTTGACGTCGGGCTGATTTTTACGGTCACAAATGGAAGTTTCAGAGGACATCGTCCTGTCCTGGCACTATTGGTGAAACACACACGCAGGTAACTGGTTTTCATAACGACGAAGCTATTTTCACTCTGGAAAACAGAAACAGGAGCACTGCTGCCCAGCACGGCTGTCCGCCTGGTCTTGAAAGTCTTAAGTCACTCGCCCGGTTCAATTTCGCCTTTTAACCAGAACGCAGCAGGGAAGCATGTTTGCAGCTCCCGGCCGGAAACGTCTCTCTAGGCAATTACGGCTCGCCTTTTCTTGCTCATCCCAAGAGCAAGCTCGAATTTTCTTCCTCTCCTCCACAAACGCGGGCTCCCACTATAGCTTCAATTATCGCCCCCTTAATTTTGGAAAAATTTGCGTTTTCAACCCCTGAATGCGGAAATAAGGGTGATCGCGCATGCGCGCCCTTCTCACTTAGCCAACAAGCCGGACCATTCCGACTCGCCAAAACCTGAATGAACTTACATCGAAAGGTCAAGCGGCAATCTCTGGCCCTTCTGTCACGTACTTCCTGTCCTAAGGTCAACTGCACAATGAAATTCCTTCTAGAACATTCTAAAGGACAAAGCGCGCGAAATCATGACTTAGCAAAAATTGCTCCCCTTTCCCTCCTTCTTTTCACAATGAATCAAAGCTTGTACAAAAATTGCAAATAAAAGAAAAATAAATAATATTCTTTTAAACTAAAAATATTCCCAGAAGCATTTGTTTTTTCCCAAAATTAAAGCATTAAAATAAATAATTCAGAATCAAATAAAATTAAGATTTCCTTAAATCAGAAAATCATTCACCTAGTTTTTATAACGCGATCAGACAAATTTTCTACACAACACCACTCAGCCGCGGGAGGCCCGAAATACGGTGTATTTAATTATGGCAAAGCACACTAGGGCTATCTGCCTAAGGGAAGGGTGCCCTTCGTGGAGGACTTTCTAGGGGAAACTGGCTCGTATACACGTTACACATGGGGAAAACCACAAAAACACCCATGAAGCCAGCCCATTCGCGGGATTCGAACCTCGGACCGAACTACCAGTGTTCAGCGACTTTACGCTCGGCCGCTGGTAGGCGGAAGCCCGATATACGTATCAAAAGTTAC